AGTTTGACATAAAGAAAAAAAATTATAAACAATTCATGTTTTTAAAAATTAAAAAATATTTTCAACTCACATGATTAAGATAAAGGTTAAAACAAAACCTATAACATCTACATTAGGACAAAACGTAAAACAACTAACATTACATATATATTTAGGAAAAAAAGTGAAAAACAAAAATATATTAAGATAAAGGTTAAAACAAAACCTATAACATCTACATTAGGACAAAACGTAAAACAACTAACATTACAAATATATTTAGGAAAAAAGTGAAAAACAAAAATATATTAAGATAAAGGTTAAAACAAAACCTATAACTTCTACATTAGGACAAAACGTAAAACAACTAACATTACATATATATTTAGAAAAAAGTGAAAAACAAAAATGTATTAAGATAAATCTATATTAAGACAAATCTAAAAACGGAACAACTCCGTAAATGTAAATCTTTCATAACAGATGCACAGTTACAAGACAATAAATGCAAGAGTATTGGAAGATGTCAGATGGCTTTATGACGTAAGCCACACAATACATAAACAGTGATAATTGTTATTGATATGCTAAGCAATGTCATTACATAGATATTCATATGCTGAAGAGCTATGTGTATAAAGACTAATATTATTGTGTTAGTTTATGCTTTACCAAGACATGCAAATATTAATACTACATAATAAAATATTTTATGTTCATAGCATTCTCCCAATAACTACGTAAAATATGAGACGAAAACTTGTAATTTATCATATGTGGCCCTTTTTAATGAAATGAGTTAATTTACACCAGGAGTAACCTTAAGCTGAAGCCAAAGCTAGGTTTGTATCAATTTGGGGATTTTTTAAAATTTATTTTCAGTTACACAATCATTAAGTATACATTAGCAGTGGACTTTTTTTAAATACCACAATCATAAAAGAATACATTTTCAGTGGATGTTCTTTAACTACTAAACTTAAAAGAATTTAAATTGTATTTGACAGGTAGCTAAATATAAGCTAGGTATGAAGACAGCTGATGGGAATTCAAAAATTTTCTAAATCACTCTTTTGATAGAGCTAACTTCAAAATTATTATCAACACAGTGACTATATCTGATTCCAAATGGTGATTGGCTGAAAAAATTAAACTACAGGTGCTAATAACTCAAACTGTTTTGCCATATAAAAGTTGTGTTCAGTTATTGGATGCTAAAATGTAAGCTAAATTATTTTTTAGATAATAAATATGGCTTCTGTAATTGCTTACAGGGGTGGTGTTTTAGAATATTAAAAAAATGGAAGTGTAGGATAACTTCTTGAATAATGAGTGGGGTTTATATGGTGTAATAAATCTCGACTGACGAATAAATATAGTGATGGATTGGGAGGACTTTTAAGTGTTGGGTGGATTCTATTTTCAGTGCTGATTTAAACTTTAAATTTATTATTTTAAATCAAACGATTAAAACAATTAATTATCTTCTGTGTAATATTAGCTAAAGTGGGTAAAAATGTATTTAATAAAGTATGGTTTAAATTTCTTTTACTGTAAGAGGGAAAGAAAGGATTTCATATTTTAATATAAATTAAAAAATCATTTATAAATTCTGAATACAAGCTTACTGAGTTGTTGGAGATCGTATGAAAATAAATTATTTTAAAATAAATAAATAAGACTCCTGAAGTAAAAACTGCTTGAAGCTCATTCCCCAAAAGCAGTTAGCAAATTGTAAAATAAACGTTAAACACTAGAGCAGAATAATCAAAATAAACAGATGGTTAAAACTGCAATAAATATTTAACAAAATATACAAGCAATGCTAAAAAAAAAACACAAGTTTTTATAATAGCAAGCAGCTAATCAAAATGAAGGTAATGGCAGTTTTGAAATAGTCAATATGAAATTAATTTTATAACAATTTTTTTTCAAAAACAAAAGTGATCTTTTTTTAACATCTTGAAAATCATCAAACAATAACAACTTTGTAATTCAGAGATGTAAAAAAATAGCCAATTTTTTTAAAGATAAATAATAGACAAAAGAGTTGATTCAACTTTTTAGCTTTTCTGCATTTTAAATTACCTAGACAAAGACTGAAAGAAAATCTAAACTTCAAGACATAAGAGTTATAGTAGGAGGAATCTCCTAGATTGTTACTTTTTGCATCAATGTGTTGCATAAGTAACTTGCTATATGATGTTAAAACAATCAACATTCAATTCCATTTTTTTCAGTTTAGAAAGAAAAGGACATGAAACAGCATTTCAAAATAAACGTATAGAAAAAATTGGGGAAAAAATGAAAGTCCTTTGTTTCTTTTGAAAATCAACATTGCACAGTTTTGAATTAAAGCATATGAATGGTTTCTTAATTACTTGTTTCAATAGTTTTCTAAACTTGTTTTTAAACAAGGAAAATTTAAAATAAAACAAATTTCTATGATGGCTTAATAATAGAATCAGTCTTTGCAATATTAGTTTCATATACCAAAAAAACCCACTATTGTTTAAAGCAAAAAAAAAAAACAAAAAAAAAACAGTAAGGCATGTAAAAGGAAACTTTGATGTGAATTATGTTTAAGCATTACTGCTTTAAACAAATTGTTTTCATAATATTTTTTTTTTAAATTCTTTTTGTCACATCTAGAGAAAAAATTTAAAACATTAAAATCTGAACATTAAAATAAACAGAAAAAAAAACTTCAAATCTTTAAAAACAAAAATTTGAAACAATATCAATATAAATTGTTTAACTTCAGCATTCATTATTATTAAGAGAAAAAATTCAATAAACATAGTTAACTCTTTTTTTTATTCAAAATTGAAATAATAATTTCATAATACAATAAATAATGTATCAAATAATTAACATTATTCCAATCCACTTAATATTTGTGGATTTATTGATGGAACCAAGTATAATGATAAAGATCAGATGTAAACATTCATAGTACTCTTCATGCATATTATAAAGTTTTTTTTTTGAGCTTTGAAGCAAAATAAAACACAATAGACATTGCAGACAACATGTGATATGCCGGTATAGATATAATTTATATAGCCCATAATTTCCTTTTTGTTAGATTAGAAGAATACAAGTAAATACTAACTTTAGAGAATACTGTGTAAACTCTCTCTAAAAGGTTATGAAATGGGTGATACTGCAATGGTAATATAATGTACACGATGCCATAGTATTTAAAAACCATACAAATCTTTTCAATCAATAACTAATTTAAATTTAAGATAGTTTCATTCAAGTGAAATTAAATAATAAATATTCTTTGGATATAGTTCATTAGCACCTAAGCTTTATTAAGTTATAAAATAGAAAAATATGTAATATGTATGAATATTTTTTATATACTGACATAATCAAAGAATGTTTAATGCTACATAGCAATAAACTACGAAACCCACAGTATTAGATACACAAGATAAAAAAAAAACAAGAAAAAAAAACAAGTATAGGTGATATAGTTTATAGTAAAGGTAGAGAAAGGGGTAAAGTTATTGCTTTAGAAACTGAGCAGGAATAGATAGACATCAAACACATCGCCCAGATAAGAAATATATTCTTTAAACTAACAAGGTAAATACAAACAAACCATCTTTAAATGCCACCATTTATTGATGATGGTGAATCTTCACGAATACTTTCGAACTTAATCAAAAATTATAAGATAATATATTTTCAACAAGACTTTTGAAAAACTTTACTTCAATTAATATTTTTTTTTTTGTGTGCATTCATTTTGTGAAAACTAATACAAACAATTGTTTTTTCCCCCCTCCCCAATCATTTATTGAGAAAATTGAAATTTCAGAAATAACGCTCATGGATATTTATAGATATAAAAACTTTAATCCCATGAATGTCGTAATGCCCAACTATATTCCTGGGTTATGATGAACAGTGTGCCCACCTATATTCCTAGGGTTTTTACCAACATCAGAGATATTGTGCTGGCCACAAAATAACATTGTAACCATAAAAACAACTGGATAACATAGTGTTCCTCCTATGGATATTCAGATTTTTTTAAAAGTAATGGTTCAACAACTTGGGTAAAAGGAGTTTAGATATACCAAGTAAATGAAATAAAAACTACAAGAAGAGGGTAGCCACGAAACAAACAAAAAACAGAAAATTTCTTGTGATAACTTAAAGAGAAGAAGAAAGAAGAAATGTATCCCTCCAAGAAATGGAAGCTTTTGAGTATGAGAGCAGTTTAAAAAACTGATGACTAATTCTTAACAGATGGGTGCAAAATCTGATACTTAAATAAAATTTTGTATTAAAATCTTTTTTTTTTAAATAAACTTTTTTTTAAAATGATTTTAAAAATAAAAAAAATAACTTTTTTAGTAGTAAAATCTGCATCAAAATATTTCTTAACAAATTTGTAATTAAATGAAAACACCATAGAAAAAAAAACTATGGACAGAGAAAAATGTAAAAACAAGCACAACAAATGATATTTTTGTCTCTAGTCTTTGAATAAACAACAAAACAAAACACAAGAAAAAGTTTATTGAAGTTCTCCTTGAGAAAACCCCAACACTTTATATTGTAATTTTGACATTTTGGTTGCTTATTTTCAGGAGTTCAAATCATCATATGTTGCGCCAGAAGGCCCATGCTTTACTTTTTACAAAAGTTTAGTTCTTTCCCATAGCTAAACTATCTAAACCTTAAATAAGTTTCCGTTATTATAAGTTTAAGATAAAATTTCAAGGGGCTGCCAATGACCTAACCAATATGTAACTGGATTTGATTTGTGCAACAAAGCTACACAGCCCCCTGGGGTGTCTTCATCGAAGTGGAAGGAATGAATGGGCCCAATAGAGCAAAATAACAGATTACCACCAAGGAGATGGGCTGAAGCTATCACAATGACACTGACAGTATGAGGTAACTTAGAGCTCTATATATACATATATTACAAAAGGCCAACAACTAACCAACAACAAGACTTATATATACATACACAGACCAAGTGGAAAAGGGGGGGGGGGGGGGGGGGGTGATATTGAAAAAAATGGAGGAAAATTATTTTTTTGTTAAACCAAGTAAATCACCATTGTAATTTATTTATATGAAATTTTTTTTATATTGTGACTCTACCAAATCAATTTTGTTTCGTGAAAAATATTTTTCTTTTATAATGTGACTGTGTACCAAATCGACCTAGTTACAGGAAAAATACTTTTCTTTTATAACATGACTGTACCAAATCAATTTAGTTTACATATTTTTCTTTTATAACGTGACTGTACCAAATCAATCTAATTACAGGAAAAATACTTTCCTTTTATAAGTGACGGTACCAAATAAATTTCATTACTGAAAAACATTTTAGTTTTATAATGTGACTGTACCAAATCAATTGAAATTTAAAGAACATAATAAAAATGTATTATTTATTCCATAATGAGATTCCAGCAAAAATTGTTCTTAAAATATAGATTATCTGTCTAGAAATGATGTTAACTTTTAAAATATAAAAATCTTTATACAAAAAAAAAAACAAAAAACAAAGATAAATTAATATCTTAAGTAAATGAAAATTAAAACTGTTACAATTTATATAAGTTGTTAGTTGATAAAAAAAATTTTTTAACCTTAGTCCCATATCAAACTTTGTACACACCACGTAATATAAAACAATAGAAAAAATGTTAAGTCAATGCCATTTTCAGTAATCTTATAACAAAATAATACCACCCTAATTGTTTTGTAAATTACCACCCAAATTTTTTTTAAATACCAAGCTAAAATGTAAACTACCTAACAAATATATAAAATACTACCCAAATTTTATGTGATCTACCACCCAAAGTGTATGTAAACAACCACTCAAAATGTATGTAAACTTACACCCAAATTTCACGTAAACTATCACCCAAATTTAGTGTAACCTTACACCCAAAACCTTTGTACAAACTACCACCCAGATTTTTTGTAAACTACAGCCAAAATATCATGTAAACTACCACCCAAATTTTGAATAAACCTATTACCCAAATATACCACCTACTACCACCCAAATATTGTCTATAGAAAAAGCCACTGAGATAAATTAAACAGATTTACCACAATCCTAATTTTTAGATGGAATATTGAACATTGCCTACAGCTTTAAAATGGAGTAAAGATTTTTTCGTTTTTTACTATGAGGACAATGAAAAATACTGACTTGATGATAGCTGTAGAAATGAGTGAAATCCTTGAAAACAGTTCGGAGAGCTACAACAACAGACACCACACTTCAGACAGGCTGGATAAAAAAAAATGCTAACTACAAATGCTGGATTTTCAGCAGGCTAACCAAGATGACAAACAGCAATAGAGCCAATAAAAAATAATTCCTGAGCAGATGGGGGGTATCACCTTCTCCTGTCGGATCTGCTTGTCTGTTGAAACTGCCTGTCTGATGACCTTGTCTAAGACTGCCTCCATTTTTAAAGTTACACTGAGCTGTAGCTGTGCTGTCTGACCACTTCACTTAGCTAAAAAAAAACATCAAATACAAAACGTTACTGACTGTTAGCAGAGCTGTTAATAAAACGAATATTCTAAAAAAAATAAAAATTTTTAAAATCATCGTTAAAATAAAATTTCTTGTCCGACAAATATAAATTAAAAAATCAAATGTCTAAGATTAAAAAAAGACCAACTTTATTTTTCCACTTTTAAAAAATTTCTTTTAATTAGAATCAGATTTGATCAAGAATCTAGTACAATAAATATATAATATTTGGGTGTCCAACTGGTGAAAAAGTACCGAGAATAAATAAATGATACAATGTTATACAAAGTATAACCTATCATTTTAGAGTTAAAGTTCACAACCATCCCACAAGATAGTTAGTTTAAGTGCTTTTCAATACTTTCAAATATACCTACAAGTGTTAACAAATTTTTTATGTAAAAAAAAATTCTTGTGAGTATATTAAATTAAACATTTTAAATCCATTTTAGCAGAAAACATAAAACCATCATTAAATGTCACATGAACAAGTTAATTTTAAGTTCAGTTCACAAGAAAAATATTTTTAGTGTTTTGGCTTAAGACTATATTTATTTTAAAAATTTGATGTTGATCTATGCCAGGTTAATCATATGTAAATCATGTGACCATGTTTCATGGTTTAGTCAACAGTAATAGACCATTTTAGTCCATTTGGGCTTTAAACTCTACATTTTACTGATATATAAACATGCACATATTTTTATTCAGAGTATATAAAAACTGTAGCATATAGTTTAGGCTATTTATAGACAGTAATCATGCTTGATAAATCACATAAAATAGTGGTGCTTATTAATTAGTACATGCCCCTAGATAAAACTCACCACTTTTAATATTTCTAGCATAGAAAAACAAATTAAAATGAAACATTATGACAAATTTGAATATTTATGATTAATTAGCCTATCAATCAGGTTCTGGAGAAATACGGTTCAACAATTTATGTGGCCTCTATCTGGCCAGGGCTTAAAGAAAACACTGGCAAAGATAAGTTGTGGATTGTTTTTTTACTCTGAATACATCCACACAAATATTTATTGTTTCATTATTACAAAGCCAGCTTGTGCTATCAATTCCAGTGAAATATTATCATTATTATGCCTAATCTTTAAATGAGACTACACCTCAAAGATATTACAATTCTTACCAAACTTAAATTTTCAAACAATAAGTTATGGTTAATGATACATGGCCTAACATAGTGTTTCTGAACAACGTGTGTTTCTGAACAACGCAACTACCCAGTGAAGGATTTTAGAAGCTAATATCGAAGTTTGAGAAAAAAACTGCTGTTATATAGCACCCACAAATCAACCTCACTTTTATGTCTACACAAATTTCAACTTACATATAAGGTCTAGGACATACCCCCCCCCCCACACACACATTGTCAATTACGCCTCACCTGAGTTATTTCCTCTATCTTAACCTCTCAGATTAATTGCTCCTCCTTCTAATTAAATACCCCCCACTTTAGAATAAATTTTACATCTATCCATCTCCATATTCAGCTACCTAACCCTATTCCCATCCCAAGCTTATCCTTCATCTATCTGTATCTCTCTCTAAATGACTAGGTGCAGGTAATTTGACAGGTGTAATTTCCTACAGCTTTTTAGGGGCAGGGGTAATGTACAGAGGGTACTTAATCTTGGGGTAATGACTAGGCACAGGTAAAATGACAGGGGGGTAATGTCCTACAGCTTTTTAGGGGCAGGGGTAATGTACAGAGGGTACTTAATCTTGGGGTAATGACTAGGCAAAGGGAAAATGACAGGGGGGTAATGTCCTACAGCTTTTTTGGGGCAGGGAGTAATGTACAGAAGGTAATTAATCTGGGGGCTGGGGGGGGGGGGGGGGGGTACTGTATGGGAGTAATTTACAGGGGGTAACTGACAGGGGGTAATTGACAAGGGTAATGTCCTACATGTACGCCTGGTTTATTTAACATATTACTAGCTGATCAGATATTTTAGTATATTTAAGATAAAAATCTCTCCATAACTGGTCATGAAAGTCTCCACATTAGTTGGCTCAAAACACATTTAAAATTTATGTGATAAAAGTAATAGATTTTAAACATATTTCCGCCCAGCGACATAGTTATAGACGAGCGCTCTATTGGACAGTGAATGAAATGTAACTCACCATTGGTTTCACTTGGTTTTCTTCAATGACAGCTTCATCATTCTGGTATGTTTCATCCTGTTCACCATCAGCTGGCGATGGGCTCTACAAGATACAAATCAAATCAATACACATATACAGTAGAAAACAATCATGTAAACAGTATTCAATACTCATATAATCAGCACTCAATACTCATGTAGACAGTATTATACATCGAACACTGATAATGTTTGTTAAATAAAGACTTCACAAAAGGTCAGTAAGAAAAAATTAAAAATAGAAATACTGTTTATGAAATCTAATCATTATAATTTGAAATGGAAAAAAGAAAAAGGCAAAAAGAAAAGCTGAACATGTACATTATTATATAAAGATTACTGTAAAAATGTCCAGACAAAAAAAGTAATACATAACCTAACAAAATAGAACAAAAACAAAACTGAAAATCTATTTTCTTATAATTTAATAGATTATATAAGCAATCAAAGAAAAGACAGTAGAGAATAAAGAAAAGTTACTGGAATGATGAGTGCCTAGTTAATGTGGCCCTGAGAAGTTACTGGAATGATGTGTGCCTAGCTAATGTGGCTCTAAGAAGTTACTGGAATGATGTGTGCCTAGCTAATGTGGCCCTAAGAAGTTAATGGAATGATTTGTGACTCGCTAATGTGGCCTTGAGAAGTTACTGGAATGATGTGTGCCTAGCTAATGTGGCCCTGAGAAGTTACTGGAATGATGTGTGCCTAGCTAATGTGGCCCTGAGAAGTTAATGGAATGATGAGTGCCTAGCTAATGTGGCCCTAAGAAGTTACTGGAATGATGTGTGCCTAGCTAATGTGGCTTTAAGAAGTTACTGGAATGATGTGTGACTAGCTAATGTGGCCCTAAGAAGTTTCTGGAATGATGTGTGCCTAGCTAATGTGGCCCTAAGAAGTTACTGGAAAGATGTGTGCCTAGCTAATGTGGCCCTGAGAAGTTACTGGAATGATGTGTGCCTAGCTAATGTGGCCCTAAGAAGTTACTGGAATGATGTATGCCTAGCTAATGTGGCACTAAGAAGTTACTGGAATGATGTGTGCCTAGCTAATGTGGCCCTAAGAAGTTACTGGAATGATGTATGCCTAGCTAATGTGGCACTAAGAAGTTACTGGAATGATGTGTGCCTAGCTAATGTGGCCGTAAGAAGTTACTGGAATGATGAGTGCCTAGCTAATGTGGCCCTAAGAAGTTACTGGAATGATGAGTGCCTAGCTAATGTGGCCCTGAGAAGATACTGGAATGATGTGTGCCTAGCTAATGTGGCTCTAAGAAGTTACTGGAATGATGAGTGCCTAGCTAATGTGGCCCTAAGAAGTTACTGGAATGATGTGTGCCTAGCTAATGTGGCCTTAAGAAGTTACTGGAATGACGTGTGCCTAACTAATGTGGCCCTAAGAAGTTACTGGAATAATGTGTGCCTAGCTAATGTGGCCCTAAGAAGTTACTGGAATGATGTGTGCCTAGCTAATGTGGCCCTAAGAAGTTACTGGAATGATGTGTGCCTAGCTAATGTGGCCCTGAGAAGTTACTGGAATGATGTGTGCCTTGCTAATGTGGCCCTAAGAAGTTACTGGAATGATATGTGCCTAGTTAATGTGGCCCTAAGAAGTTACTGGAATGATGTGTGCCTTGCTAATGTGGCCCTAAGAAGTTACTGGAATGATGTGTGCCTAGCTAATGTGGCCCTAAGAAGTTACTGGAATGATATGTGCCTAGTTAATGTGGCCCTAAGAAGTTACTGGAATGATGTGTGCCTAGCTAATGTGACCCTGAGAAGTTACTGGAATGATGTGTGCCTAGCTAATGCGGCTCTAAGAAGTTACTGGAATAATCTGGGACAACTTAAAGTTGCCTTAAATATCTTTCAAAAGATAATCCCATTAAAAATCTGAGAGAATAATTGACTTACTGTTACATTGAAAGCGACCACAAGCTCGGTGCTAGGTGGAGGGCGATAAAACTTGAGAGCCAGCGAGCTGAAGATGACAGACAGGCCTTTGAGGGAGATGGAGTAGACATAGACACCAGTCACCAGGTGATCTGGGTCGTACAGCCAGCAGGATAGCCTCTGTCCGCACTTCTCGCGCCAGGTGTCGCAGGTTAGATCAAGCAGCTTGCCCATTAGGACTGGACCCATGAAAGACCCTTAAAAAAAATTTTTTAGATTAGAGATTTGAATTATGGGACAAGACCAATATAGGATACTAGAAATGTTTTTAAAATTAGAGATTTGATTTATTTCTTTTAAACCATGGGACAAATTAACGCTTGCAAATGATTCTTTTATTATAAATTAAAATTAACACTGAATTATATATACAACACTTAAAATTGATGTAAAAAAAAAATAAATAAACGGATAGCAGTTATCATTATCTTTGATAATAATTCACTCACTAATACAGATCTCATTTGGTCAAATTATCAAAAGGAAAGTGCTTTTTTTAATTTATTGTTTATAGATGTTTTTATAACTTATAAAATTTAACTATTGGAATTCTAAGGATTTTTTTTGCTCAGATGGAAATTTTGATTAAAATTAGGAAACAGGAACAGAAAAAAAATTATTCAAAGAAGATTTAACATGAGTCAAAATTTCTAACATTTTCTAGTGGACTCGGTCAGTGAAGAAAATCAGAAAATACTTTGCTGACCCCACAGGTAAAATTGGGATAAAATCAATGAAAAATGAATCACCTAGCATCCGAACTATGAGGGTTTTAATTCCTTGAGCATAAACTTTATGATCTTCATGAACACATCTGTGGACAAAACAGTATTTAAGTTATAACAAATCTTCGTAAACACTTCGGTGGACAAAACAGTATCTAAGTTTTAACAAATCTTCATGTACACATCTGTGGACAAAACAGTATCTTAGTTATAACAAATCTTCATGAACACATCTGTGGACAAAACAGTATCTAAGTTTTAACAAATCTTCATGTACACATCTGTGGACAAAACAGTATCTAAGTTATAACAAATCTTTGTAAACACATTGACAAAACAGTATCTAAGTTTTAACAAATCTTTGTAAACACATTGACAAAACAGTATCTAAGTTTTAACAAATCTTTGTAAACACATTGACAAAACAGTATCTAAGTTTTAACAAATCTTCATGAACACATTAACAAAACAGTATCTAAGTTATAACAAATCTTCATCAACACATTGACAAAACAGTATCTAAGTTTTAACAAATCTTTGTAAACACATTGACAAAACAGTATCTAAGTTATACAAATCTTCATGAACACAACTGTAGAAAAAACAGTATCTGATTTATAAAAAATCTTCAAGGATATATCTGTTAAAAATACAATGTTTTATTCAGCTTATCTTCAGCAACAACACTATACAGCTTTAAAAAAATAAATAAAATGAAAAGCAGATCTTGTGATTAAATATAGCAAGTGCTAAGACAGAATATCTTCTTTTCTTCTTCTTCGTTCTTAATTTTAGTGTTGGTAAGGATCCCCACCAACAAAATTAAGTATAAGTATCAACTGGTTATGAGCCATTGAGGCCATTGAATCCGATTTCAGCATGTTTTTCTTTTTGGATTTGCTTCCATAGCCTTTTTTCAACCAAGAACAAACTACAATGCAGCAGTTGTTTGATTTTGGAGTTGTCTCTAATAGAAGAGTGGCTGTCCCCAGCTAACGAGCCTCATCTGCCTGAGGGTTCAAACTTGAGACTTTTCGGTTTAGCAACCATGAGCTTTTACTGGCTTGACCACACCAACAAAAAATATTACTCTAATATTTTAAACAAGAGTTGGTAGACTTTACCTAAGTTGTACGGCATCACAGGGTGCTATAGGCATGAAGGAGATACACATAGCAAAGAACAGCAGGATGACAAACACAAAGAGCAGAGGGCAGGACTTGCGACAGTTCTCAGAGCCAAGAGTTTTACTGATCTGGCTGCCGATGTCATTTCTCATATTGATGGCATCAATGCAGGAGCAGTTATGGAACTGGGGAGTAAAAATACAAACGCTGACGAGCAATTTAAAACAACACATTTCAGAATTTAAAACAAAAATGGACAATATTTTATTGGCTTTCAGTTTTAATTTTAAAATATTTGAAATCAAAGTTGAGAAGCAGAAATTATGATGTTAATTGTAATTAAACATAAAAACATTATTAGTAGTGTATTAGACAATTCTTCTTCGTTCCTAATTGTAATGCTGGAAGGGATTTCCTCCAACACAATTAAGTATTACGTTTCGGCTTGTTATTCACCATATAGGCTGTTGACTCAAATTTCAGCCTGCTTTTCTTTTTGAATTTGTGTTTGGCCAATAAAGGTGGTTTATTTAAACTACATCAGTACTTACGTCATTCCCAGTTTGTTTGATACAGCCAGCATAACAGGGTGAGAAATATAAACTGGTGTCCTTGTTGCAGACAGGCTCAAAGGCATCTGTGTCACAGTTGCACAGACTGTTGCATGTGGTGTCCAGTTTGATGGGGTAGTTCCCAGTTGACCTGCGCATGTGTAAAAGATTGTACAGGTAGAAGAAAAATATATATTACCAAACTATTCTAACACAATCTATTATTGAATAGGGTAGTAGCTTTAATCTCTTTTTATATAACTAACTAATAAACATGGATGGTTTTTAATCTTAAAAATTGGTTTTTTAATATACTTCTTTCTATTTCTAAAAAGAGTTATTTCTAATATTAAGTACCAAATGTAAAAAAATTATGTATTTAATTAAGTTAACCTATATCCTGCTAGCGTCCCACTTATAGGATGCTTGTAAAAAAATGTATAAAAATTTATAAACAGCTAGTTAAAACACAAATTATGTCTCATGGTATTTGTGTGTGTTTTGTAAAAAATGAAATTTAGAAAAAAGTTATAGCGCCAGTATTTGCTAGACTTGTCAAAATGGCAGAAAAAACATAATGCACATGGGTAAGTGCATATCTTCTTAAATATTAATATTTTAAATGCAAAATAAACGTAAAACTTGAAGCAATATCATATTTCTATCTAATAAAAAATTTAACAATAACAATTATTTAATAACAATTATTTTTAGCTACTATGTTGTATCAAGTGTACAGTGCGCCCCCCAGAAGTGGGACGCTAGCATGAATGGTCCCATGTTCAGGTAGTGCTAAAATCCCATTTATGGGACACTTGCAAGAAACAGACACAAATGTTTATGTCAAATGGTTATTTATGGTGAAACGCTTGTTATCTTTGTTTGCTGTTGACTTTGGGGGTAAAGTAGTATTTTTAGATATTTAATTATGATCTTGACCTATATATGAGTTATATATTATTGTATAAAATGTTGAAATTGAATTATTTTGGAAAGTTTACATTTTTATTTCTCAGGTGTCAGAATTACACTCACTAAAGTATCCAATACCATTGAATATACTAATTTAGTAGTGCTGTGAATTCACCAGGCACATGATATAGAATTATAACAAGAGAGAACTGTTTCCTGTGTCAACTCTATGTTAACTGTATCAGCCTTATGTTCCCTATCTCAGCCTTATGCTACCTGTCTCAGCCCTATGTTCCCTGTCTCAGCCCTATGTTCCCTATCTCAGCCATATTTTCCCCATCTCTGCTATATGAGCCCTTTATCAGCCCCTATGCTCATTGTTACATCCATGTTCCCTGTCTCAGCCCTATGTTCCCTGTCTCAGCCCTATGTTCCCTGTCTCAGCCATATTTTCCCCATCTCTGCTATATGAGCCCTTTATCAGTGCCTATGCTCATTGTTACATCCATGTTCCCTGTCTCAGCCCTATGTTCCCTGTCTCAGCCCTATGTTTCCTGTCTCAGCCCTATGTTCCCTGTCTCAGCCGTATGTTCCCTGTCTCAGCCCTATGTTCCCTGTCTCAGCATATTTTCCCCATCTCTGCTATATGAGCCCTTTATCAGCGCCTATGCTCATTGTTACATCAATGTTCCTTATCTTAGCCCATGTTCCCAGTATCAGCCTTATGTTCCCAACCTCAGCCTCATGTTCCCTGAATCAGTCTGTCCTATGTTCCCAATCTTAGCTCTCAGGGGCAGCAAGAAATTTAAAAAAGTAAGTAAAACTCCTGACTTACCCACTGATGTAAGGAATTGAGACACCATATATACTGCTATGCTCACACCGGATCCACACAACAGCACAGCTTAAAACTGACAAGGAGCCAGTAACAATCATGTACTTGAGTGCTTGGGTGATGGTGAAGTTGAACTTTTTGGCAATGAAACCACCCATCACAAGTCCACACACAGCTGCAGGGACCACAGCAATACCTGGCAAGATTGTCATTTTGTTTAAGTTAATCATTGTTTTGTTTCATTGTGCAATGTGTTAGTTTTTAAACAAACATTTTTTTTCAATCAGACTTTTAAATTTCTTTAATTCAATAATTAAAGTAAAAAAAGGTTTAAAATCAAATTTTTAGTTCAATAAATAAAATTTGATGGTGTTTGTTTTTGAAGTGACATCTTTTTCAATCAGGCATTTTTTAATTTCTTTAAATCTATAATTAAATTAAAAAAAAGATTTTAAATCGTATTTTATTTCAATAAAAAAAATTCAATGTATTTTTTTTTCAAAAAAAAAATATATATATAAACAAGTTAATTAAAAAGTCTAGTGACAATTTTAGCGCAATTTCCTTATGTTATCTAAAAATAGCTCTGTCGTAGCGTAAATCAAGAGCAGGGTTAGTAAAACCATTGGTTAGTTATTAAAACGTTTTTTATTTTAAAAAAATTTCAGTATTTTACATGTTTTATTTACAATAGAGTTACTTGACTAAAAACCATTGCGCGCCTAGCTACTGAACGTGATGACGAAGCCATAGAACGTGATGGTGCAGCTATTGAACGTGATGACGCGTGTGGTGTGGTTGGAAAAAATGCCTACTAATTCGGTCCAAATTTTAATTAATTCAAAAAAATTTTTGTGACCGAACGAAAGGATATTTTTGAAAACTTTCTTCGGCAATATTGTTCTAAATTATGGCAGGAATCGATTGGTACATGTTTCAAGTCGCTAAGTGGTCTGGTTGCCGAGATATGGGCTAAAAACTGCTTTTTTTCGAGGTTTTTTGGCTTTTCCGGGAAATCCATGAAAATAACCCGGAATTTTTATAGCCTATGTTCATCCTCGTAACTTTCTTAACATAATTGCTTTTGGAACTAGTCATCGATATTGCTTCGTTGAGGAGGAGATACGACTTAAAGCTGCGGACACACATCCATCCATTCATTCATTCATACATTCATACATCCAGAAATGACGGGTTAATAAACGCAATTCTCCAGAATGGAAATTGCGCTAAAAATACTGCTATTAATTAAATTATTTAAAAAACACATTCTAAGTATTTAAATTATTTGAAAAAAACATCTATGATGATAAATACAACACCAACTTGGATGAACAAAAATAAAAAGTTTCTCTAGCAAATTTTATTTACCTGCGAAGACGGCAGCCCGCGAGGCTGGAATCCCATACTGATTCTCAATAAACTTTGGCAGGAAGGCAGCAGACCCAGACATAAACATTGCCTCGGTGGTCATGCCCAGTGTGACGAACACAAAGCAGGGGTTTCTCAACACGGTCATGGTGGTGGCCATAAATTTGTTGTTCTTGAACTTTGACGACAGGCCGGAGGCCACAGCGTGAGCTTCCGGTTTCCGGTTTTGTCTGATATCCTGTGTTCCAGGTAGCTCCGAGCCGTATAAAGATATGGGTACGTACACAACCAGTTGAAGAACTGCTGCAATTGTTGGTCCAAGCCACCAGGCGCCTAGCCAGCGGGGATCTTTTGGAGTAAGCTTAATGGAGTCGAGCGTGTCGAAATCAACATATATATTAAGCAGCTGTCCACCGATAATGTATCCTAGACCCGAGCCTAAAATATTACACCCGTAGATAATCCCTAGGAAGAGGGGTGTTTTCTGAGGCACAACGCTGTCATCCATTAAAGATATTCCAACAGTGAAGAGCGTAGTGCCGCCGATTCCGTGGAGTAGTTGGGAGAATAGAAACACGTACAAGTAGTTACTAAGCGGGGAGGAATGAGGGACATTGGTGCAGTTGGCTGTGGTGCTGGCGCCCAGGACGCAGATCTTCTCCGGGGCCATCCCTAGCGTGTACTGCCCAGCGGTGAAGTGCGGCACGGCCATACAAAACGAACCAATGGCTGAGAAGAGGATAGTGATAGAGAGCATGCGTGGCTTCCGCCTGCCTGACCCTATGTAACCAATGACGACAGCTAACATGGCTGCTGACACATCGTAAGCGCTGGATACAAATCCTAGATTGGTACTGTCTAGATCATATCTTCTTTCTATGGAGGAGACGTTCACATTTTGGACCCCATTAACTTCAAAACCTGAAATCAATTTTTAAAAAAAGATAGTTAATATTAAAAAACTTGTAAAGGTAAAAAATCTGATGGTCATTTTAGCAGGTGAACTAGAGTTAGCTGTTATTGTGGCCTCAGCATTATATGAAGTTAATAAAGAAATAAAGTTGTCAATTCTATGCCAAGCAAACTTTTCTTTCCCTAATGGGAGTCGGGTGTAAATTAGAACTGGGTGAACTCAGGATGTCCTAGAGATCACGCCAGAGGTTGCAACCCAAGATTTTTTTAGTTAAACAGTTGGACATCCCTGAGGCTACAAGGGTAAATGGGGAAAATGTCTGGACATTGTTAACATAATGCTACCATGATACCAAACTCTACTTCACCCTGTTAAATGCTAACATCAGCTTACATAATGGTGTTAACATAATGCTACCATGGATCCAAACTCTACTTCACCCTGTTAAATGCTAACATCAGCTTACATAATGTTGTTAACATAATGCTACCATGGAACCAAACTCTACTTCACCCTGTTAAATGCTAACACCAGCTTACATAATGTTGTTAACATAATGCTACCATGGAACCAAACTCTACTTCACCCTTTTAAATGCTAACATCAGCTTACATATAATGTAACAATAGAAGCAAACTCAGCCCTGTTAGACCATATGGTCTCAAACAAATGCTTGTAGTTTTTAAATTACCTACGGCTGTGCAGTGCCAGTGAGTCGCCCCTCAAAACTAATTTTAACATTAAAAAAACAATATTGACACATTGATAGAATCTACTGGTAAGCAATTAAATAGCACAGTGTATACAAAGTCCTAAGTGTGGGCACATTCTTAGCATAGCCTCCCTTTTTGTATAACATCAACTAATTCAGAATCTATAAAATAATCATATATACAGAGTAAGGATTATAATTCTAAAGATAAATAACTGAATATAAGGGAATCTACTCAAAAGAATATTCTAAGGTTTACAAAGTATGCTGTTATATCAGTTATGTCAGTTACAACAATTATTCCATGATATATCAAAAGGTTAAAATATGACCTACCTAAAACAAGAGAATAGACTCCCATAAAGAAAACAAGACAATTGGGGGAGTTGAAGGTCTGCAAAAACTGGGGACGCCATCGCCCATACCCACATCTGTTGGAACTATCTTCACTGCTTCTTCTGGCTTCTCTACCTTCTCTATTCTCTTCCTCTTCTGGCATGGATTTTTCTTTTGGAGGGGCATCTACTGTTGAAGACAGCCCTGCAGGGTTATAATTGACAGTTTAATGACAGCATTGGTTAACAGCATTTAAAAGAACTGTTTTAAAAAATGGCTCTTTGGTCAATATTTCTTCCTGAAGCCAGACCCAGAAAAATTGGATAAGATATAATAAAAGATGACTTTTAATTTTGGGATGAAAAGAAAAAAATAAAATGATTTTTTTAAATAATAATGAACCACTATTTATACAACTATAAACAAAAAAGCATGGTCTGCTATAATTAAGTATAATATGTATTTAATACCCTTACTACAATTGTATGAGTGACTCATGTTTTTCTTTTATTTATGTAAATAGTGGTACATTTTCATAAATCTAATTTCTCAAACATTTTACTTTTTAAAAATGAAATTTAAAAAATAATAATATTATTGCTTAACTAAACATACTTGCGCATCAAATGAATGCAAGGAATAATTGTAATCGCTCAAAAAGTTTAGTACTATATACTTTATAGTAATTATGTCTTTATGATAATGTTACATTGCACTGCCATTGGGTCTTTAACTACAACATGTAAATTAAGAAACCATACTGTTTGGTACAAGTGCGTGAAATTCTGTTAGCAAGATGTGACTCAGGTGAAGCAAGTACAAAGCACAAGGAATTAAGTTCAATAAAAGCTTGTAAAAACATCTAAGCCAAAAGATTTATTTAAATGTATGAAACTTACTGTGTAATTCTGGTTCCTTTGTTTCACTCTGCTCATTTTTATTTACCAAACCGTCGGCTGATGTTGTGACTGTCATTTTCAAATATCTTTTAATTGATGGTAATTATTATAGATGGTGACTATTTCTTATATTTAGAAAATAGGCCTGCAGGAAGAAAAATGAAGAATTTAAATTGAATACTACTTAAATATAAATTAATTAAAAATACTAGTTAGAACTTAGAGTGTTGAAGATATGTTGTCAGAGAAGCGTCATGTATTAACAGTTGATTTTATATATTTCTATAACCAGTACATTATTAAACATCAAACATTGTAATTCTTGGTAGCAAGATTATTTTAGCATTTTTCCAAATAAGTTGAAATATATGCAAAAAAGCTGCTACAGTCCAGAGGCGTAGCGACCCTTCCTGGCGCCCGGGGACAAACTTTCAATTTGGCACCCCCCCCCCCCCCAACCCTTTCAATTGCACACACCCCCCCTCAAGCTTTCGATTTGCACCCCCCCCCCCCCTCAAACTATTTATAATGCGAAAATGCAGCTAAAATGACATTTTAATTTGTTTTTACAACCTATTTTGGCGCCTCCTAAGGTCGGCGCCCGGGGACATATGTACCCCCCTGCCCCCCCCCCATCACTACGCCTCTGCTACAGTCCACTCTTTCTGAGTTTCTGAACCTGACTCCTGAAATGAATACTCCCCTCCCCCCACCCCCGTTGCCAGAAATAGAGGCATTGTGGTGTATTAGAGTAACGCTTAGTTTAGAGTTCATTCGTGTTTAATCATTTACATAGAGATCTAGTAAATATTAACAGTTAACATAAACTTAAATATTAATACATTTTTTTAATAAAAAATATAATACAATGAAAAATGACAACACCCTTTAAACTGCCTAAACCTACCTATTTCCAGTTGTGATAAATGCTATTGTTACAGATTGTCTGTCACAAATATATTGCATGACATGGAAATGATAGTTGTTTGGGACTAGGCTATATTATAAATATTTATTGGAAGAAATGATGGCCAACTGAGGTGACTAATAATTTATAACAAGCATATGTGGGCTATTCTGAGCTGACTGGGTCAGCCTTAATAAATAAATTGGAATATTGGTATTACAGTATTACGAATAGTAAAAAGTGGCGCTAGTCACTGTAACTGGGTAATCCTAATCTGGCGCCCCTTTTAAGAAGATTCAATTGTTTAGGCAATGGGATTATTGTAGCCTGGTAGAACAAGATCTATAACGATAGGTGACTAAAGGTTAATATTAACGAAGTGACTACACCAAAAAAGATTTTACCCCTAGCACAATCTGGCCGGCAAAAGATGCATAATGGAATGACCTAAAAATCTGCGTAATGGGCTCAAATTTAATACTATTAATAGCTGCGCAATGGACTCTATTTATTCTTTTATAGCTGCGCATTAGGATCAATTACGCATTATTCTTCTGACAAAACTATCTGTACTGTGTGTTGCGCTGCGGGCGGGTCATCAGGGGTTGAGCTAGCAAAGAGTTCTAGTCTAATAGCCTACTTAAATATACTATTTAACTTATTTAAGTAGGTATTCATCGTATTAATGAGTAGATCTAACTACTAGATTTAGATATCTAGATCTAGTACTAGACTTCAAAGGCCTAGATCTAGATTCTATAGGCCTAATAAATAAATTTTGAGATTACTCAGATTAGCTGTGACAATTGTTACTGTATGGAAGATCTAGAATCTAGATTCTAGTACCTAACCCTGGGGGGGGGGGGGCTACTAGTGCCTAGCTTAGAGGCCTAGCCCAAAGTTAAATCTATTTTTAGCACTAAATCTAGGCCTATTCTCAGTCTAGATATCTAGATGTAGTTTTTACTTTAGATTAATTACTCAACTTACTTGTTACTTGTTGCAGAAGTGAAGCTTTGTTTTTATAGATCTAAATCTATGCATTTATTTTTACTTTTTGACTTTCGTTTTTTTTTTCAACCAAAAATGGCAAAAAAACCTAACTCTGCACTCTTACTAGATTTAAGATCTAGACGGTAAACATTATAAACAATGACGGCTTAAGCTGAAGAGGAGCTCAATTTCTTACAAAGCACACCAGCTAGACGCCACTCTTGCGTACAATAAATTCACTGGTGATATGTGTAAATATCTCTGTAAGATGCCGTATCCATTCCAAATATAAAACATAATATTATTGTGTCAGCCATTGGTTTACATCATAGTCTAAGTAGTAATAGGACAAGCTAAAATTAACTTACATGGTATCGATACTTTAACTAAATTAATAATGCGCAATTTATTGTTTCCTTTTCTACATTTTTCATTGATATCATTATAAATATATTTTTATTATATATTTTTAAAACTATGAGCATAAAAATAATTGAAATATTGATTATGTCTATTATAAAATGTGTTTGATATTTTTGTAATCGCTATTGAAAAAATATCGGGCACTCTATAGTGGTTGATGGCTATTTTAATGGTCTACATCCACCATCTAAATGAATAAGTTACGCACACGGTCATCATTAATTCGCCAAGCGTTTCAAAACAATCTCACAGACAACATCTACGAGATCTAGCGGTTGACTTTTTCATCAAGTATTGTATTCTCGTATTGTTTAGTAGTTTTGTTACTTTTATTTGTCTATTGCTTGCAAAACAAAAAGATATAGTCACCTCATAAATAACAAACTGAATATGCTCGTGTTGATTTGATTGGCTTGTACACATAACACATGTGTGCATTTTTAATTAGGGACAACAATTTAGAAGGAAAGGGTGACACTCTTTAAAAAAGAAAGATTTACTTACTAGGCCTACTTTACATGAACGAACTTAATCGGAAGATTGCAGTCTGATGGAATACATGCAAGAGATGATTTCATGTTTTACAGCTAAACTTTAGATTGCTAGCAAATTATCATCTGTATATTACAAGGTAGCTATCAGAATAATAAATGGGACTCATCCATTTTTAAAAGTCAAATTCTAGTGGATTCTCACTAAATTTCTGGAGGACCTCTATTAGATTCTGCGAATGACATCAGCCTTCACTCACATCAACAACAGCAAGCTAAGCAAGCTCTGTGAAAAATCACTGAAGGACAGGCTCCGATTATTTGGGGGGGGGGGGGGGAACGGACATAATCTGCCACTTCAGTTACAAGAAATGACTATTTCTGAGGTGGATCGCTTCGAATCTAGGAAGTGTAGTAAGGATAGGTGAGCAGATGAGGACATCAAAAACACCAGCATCATTTGTTCTCTACGGTTCTGGAGAGTAACACAAACACTTAAATTAGCAGATTTTTGCGTCGCATATTAAACATCTGGTTGCATGTAGAAATCATCAGTACCGAAAACCCATATTGGCGAAAAATTACAACCGTGGAAAATAAGATAGATTGGACACACATTGTGTAATCAGCTATCATAGCTATAGCAACATCACCAGACCGGCGTTAGACTTAAATCCTCAAGGAAAGAGTAAAGTAGGTAGGCCAAAACAAACTTGGAAAAGGATCAGTTGTCAGAGAAGGAGCCTGAATGTCTTGGACCCAACTTGGCGGAATCGCCCAAAACCGAATACTGTTAAAAGATAAGGTCGGGTCCCCATGCTCCACAACGGGTCCACGGGAATGATCATGATGCTGATGGGGGCAGAGATAAATTATGTAGCAAAGATGTAAAGGAGGTGTACAGTCGACGGGCTCTCGAAGTTACTATGGGACCAGCACATTTTCGGTAAATAAAATTCAATATCCGGAAACATATGAAAGAGTAGGGGTTGGTGTGGTTGAGTCGGTAAAGCTCATGGTTGCTAAATCGAAAAGTCTCGAGTTCTAAACCTCGGGCAGATGAGACTCGATAGATGGGGACAGCAACTCTTCCAGGAAAAACACTTCCAAAAGCAAACAACTGCTGCCTTTTAGTTTGTTCTTGGTTGGACAAATGCTTTGGAAGCAAATCCAAAAAGAAAAGCATGCTGAAATCGGAAAAAATGGGCTGATTTAGCATTGTCGGAATGAAATGTTTTGAAAGTCAAGTTCAAAAGGTAATGTGTTGACCATCTAATCTAGTAAGATGCAGTATGCTGCAAAAAACATAGGCCTACATTGATATGGCTAAAGTTCTAACAAGTATTTGTCTCGAAAGCAAATATTCCAAGGAGAAGTATAATATAGAGAAATATGAATTCATATTATTAATAATCATTTGGAATTGTTGTGACTCACAAATAACAGTGCACCTGGTGCGATCAGTCGGAATGAACATATACATGGCTTTTGATGAACTGGCTTTCAAGTGTGATTTACGGGGGACTATCATTATTACAGCTACAACAATCTCAGCTATTTGGAAGATGTGCACAAGTTTCATTTTGTTAGAAAGAGACGCACAAGGAAATCATCATTTGAACTGAACGTAGACAAATGTCGCCAAGATAGAATCAACTTTCAAGAGTCATGTACTTTTTGTTCTTGTGATTTTAGTTTTCTTTCTCTTCTAAACTTATCCGATATCATTTTTGAACTTGTAGCGGCGACAAAACTGCAGCAAGCATAACATTCAGAGGCGTAGCGAGGGGGGGACGACGACATATGTCCCCGGGCGCCGACCTTAGAGGGCGCCAAAATGGGTTGGAAAAATAAATTGAAAGCTTGAGGGGGGGTGCAAATCGCAAGTTTGAGGGGGGGGGGTGCAAATCGAAAGTTTGTCCCCGGGCACCCGGAAGGGTCGTTAGGCCTCTGATAACATTCATCGAGCATAGGCCCTCATTTTATTTCAGAGATCTGGCCCTTCAAACATGAGTTCGGCAAAGATCTTAAAGCTTCAGAAACTTTGTTTGGCATTCTAAAATTCATAATTATTTCTAACATAACGTCATCTATCCAGGAATTGACAAATCGAACGATCTTTCTCCAAACTGAAAAACATTAAGACGTATTTTAGACCCACCATCTCACAGAGCTATCTTATTCTTCTTGTGATCGAAAACGATTGTTCAAAACGAATGTTTACTAAAGACCAGGGTTTCTTCCAGGCATCTCTTCGGGGGGGGGGGGGGGGGGCTCTGCCGCCCCGAAGGAAGTCTACCGCCCCACCCCCCGAACGAAATTGAATTTATATAGTAAAAATATATACTTTTACCAGTGTCCGCCCCCCCCCCTCCCGAAAATGTATACAGTCCGTCCCCCCCGAAAATGTGAAGTGCCCCCCCCCCCCCCCGGAGAAAAAAGTCTGTAAAAAACACTGCTAAAGACTTGATAGATGTAGACGAATTTTCCAATAGTAAAGCTGGATAGCAATATTCACTAAGTAGATCTAGTAATTTTTCTTAAGAACTACAATTTAGCATTACAGCATGTTGCATCGTCAGACAGATACACTTGCATAGCTGGTTTTTTTTTTCACACTTGAGCTATTCATAATTCATCAAGTCAGGGGGGGGGGGGGGGTCATCCCTAAATGACGTCACACCCATAGAGGGGAGGGGTCCGTAATTTTGTGACGGTGTATGATGAGAGGGGGGGGGGGGGGGGGTCAGATGGTGTTACGTCACACTTTTGCATTATAAAAAAAGCAATGTTACAAAAATAATTTTAGCCGTTATTTCGCGTTTTAGAAAACGATTTTAATAATTGTAATATGAATTGATTAAAATACTCTATGTTGACTGAGTTTAGACAAGATTTTGGAAAAATATCGATGTTTTAATTAAAAAAAATTCAACTTCAATTTTGAGTGGGGTTGTAGGTTGAGGTGTGACGTTATTTTAGGAGGGTGGGTCTGGCTTTTTGTGACGATGTGTGACGGAGGGGAATAGGGGGGGGGGGGATCGTAAAAAAAAAGCTTGACGTCATTTATGGATGACCCCTTGAGCGCTATAAATGTATAAAGAATTTTTTTTTCAAAAGCGGACCAATACTTTTATGAAGAAAGCAAAATTGTAGTGCTTGTATGAAAGAAAGCAAGTTTAAAAAAATAATAATTCAGTGCTTATTAGTAAGTTTGATTGACTGTTTGTTTTATTTTGTACTTTTTAGTAGGCCTAAATATTTCTCCCTTTAAAAATTATTTTTGTTTTTGTTTTAGTTCTTATTTCATTATGAAGTTAATTTTTAAGTCTTGACACTTATCTAGCTATAATAATATAATATTAATTACGAGCCGACCCGCGGCGTATCATACGCCGCTATAGTTGTTTTATTTTCTACTTTTCAGCAATTCATAATTTGTGATTTCGACAGTACCAATGATGCCACTGAAAATATTTGCTTTAAAACACTATCAGATGGTCGTTAAGGACGATACCCCCCTCCTTTCCCCCGTCGCTGAAACGGGGTGAGGGGAGGTTCTTGGAGTTTTCCTACAGATGAGTTGCTGTCCATTTAACTATGTGCCGGAGGGTTCGAACTCGGGACTTTTTAGTTAAGCAACCATGAGTTTTACCGACCCAAACACGATGTCTATCGACTGTTGTTTGTCATGTCAACATTTTAAAGCTATTGATTTCTAAATGTTCCTGTATTTTCCCTTATTTCTAATACATTACGAGACACATAGGTTTTTTTTTATTTGGGGGTCATCCATAAATGACGTCACGCTTTTTTGGACGATTTTTACCTCCCCCCTCCCCTACATCACACGTCGTCACAAAAAGCCAGACCACCACCCCCTAAAATGACGTCACACCTCAGCCTACAACCCCCCTCAAAATTGCTGTTGAACTTTTCTTAAAACATCGATATTTTCCCAAAATCTTATTAGAACTCTGTGAACATATAGTATTTTGATCAATTCCTATTAGATCTACAATTTATTAAAACCGTTTTCAAAAACGCGAGATAACGGCTAAAACTCGTTTTCAAACATTGCCTTTTTATAATGCAAAAAGTGACGTCACACCATCTGGACACCCCCTCCTCATCACACACCGTCACAAAATTATTGACCCCCCCCCTCCCCCCTACGAGTGTGACGTCATTTATGGACGACCCCTTGTAGGTGGACCACTATAAAACATAAAACGGCACACTTTAGCACCCCTCAACTTAAAAAAAACAACAAAAAACAAAAAACGAAAAAAAAACCCCAATCTACTTCTTTTTAAATATGCGTATTAACTAGGTCGGGTCAATGTAGCTTTATATTGATTATTTTAAATTACAATTTACATTTGTCTCTTTTAAAATGCGAAATAACTATTCAGTTTCAAGTGAACTAGTCTACACTTTCTGCCACCCCTCCCCCGTCACACACCGTCAAAAATCTGACCCCACGGGATTGTGACGTCAAATTGCGTATTATAAGGAAGACCCCATATATATCGCTTGGATTTTGGGAGTTGGGATAAAACCCACACATTCGATTCGGTAACATTATGAAATAAGTAGCTTTCATTTGAGGCTTATCTAAAAAGACCGCAATTGCAGACATTGCTTTTTTCACACATTTTTCTCCGGATGGGGGGATGGGGCACTACAGACTTAGAGGGTGGCGCGCACTTTTAATTTCCGGGGTTAGGGCGGACACTGGTTTAAGTAGGCCTATCTATTTTTTACATAAATTAGGGACATATAGTCTATTTTCTTTCTCTATTTTGTCCTGAGGCCTTTATAATAGATTGACGACAGAAGCCTGTGGTTGTATATAACACATTTAATGGGTCTAACTACCACGATGGTAAACACCAGAGAGGACGGAAGGAAGTACACAAGGGACATCACTCAAGATAACAATATAAATATAATACCAATACAATTATCTCAATCTATTACATCCCTTTACCCTTAGAACACAATAACACATCTCTCAATAGAACAATTGATAATATCCTAAAATCACCAATTATATTGTAACATGAACACTATGGTAGATTACATCCTTACAAACAATGCACAATATGCCACAACATAATCAAGATACAAAACAATGATGTCAAAGTCCTTTTGACCTTTAAAATCATAGGTCTAACTTATTTGGGACTTTGATTGTCCTGCTTGACCTTCTCAGTGGCTTTTGATTTGGTGACTCAAGATTCTGACCATCTGGATTCTCTATCTCAGGAGGTCTAGGATTTAAATCATTAACTCCAGTTTATAAGACACAGGTCCTGTACATTGAACAATTTGACCTGGTATCCATTTTTCCTTTCTCCCATAATTTCTTAGATACACATTTTTATTAACTGCAAATTTCTTTCAATGAATGTTTGTCATGATTTAATGGAACTATTTTTGAATTGGCATCTGAAAGTATTATGCTGTTATTCAGATCCTTAACTGACATAGATTTCTTTGATTGATCAATTTCCTCATGTAATCTGATAGTGCTTTTTGGTAACCAAAAATACTGTTTAAAAGTACTATCCTGGACAATATTACTTTGCAACTGTGATCCAGTATTTGAAGTGGGTGTATTAAATGGCAAAAATCTTTTTCCTTTCCTTTTGATGTTACCCTTTTAGTTTCTGTAAGTGCTAATGATGTTAGCAAAGTTGTTTGATGATCACATTCCTTCTTACTTAAAGCATTTGAAATTGCCATATCACCATAATCATTTATTAAGTTACAAATACTTTGTTTAGGCAACTCTGACTGATAATGGACTGCATCTTCTCCATCTTTTATATTATCTTCACAAAGGGTTTTAATTTCTTATTTTATATGGCCTTAAGTCATCATTCACAGACTCTTCAGGCCAACCATTCTTACAGTACTCATATACTTTTATTAAGCACTCATCTTTTTGTGTTTCTCTCTTAATATCATTCACATTTATCTTGGAGTTATCCATGATAGTGAAGAGAACAAATACATCTTCTGGTACATAGCTCAGGCTTTGGTTTTTTAAAGGTAATCTACTAAGACTATCTGCACTATTCTCAGATCCAGGTTTGTATTTCAATTCATAATTGTATGCAGTTAGTGTGATAGCCCATCTTTGAATTCTTGGAGAGGCATGCTCAGGTAGGGTTTTGTTTTCTCCAAATAAACCTAGCAATGGTTTATGATCTGTAAAGATGGTGAACTTCCTACCAAACAGAAACTTATGAAATTTCTTAACACCAAAAATGATGCCTAAGCCTTCCCTATCTAACTGAGAATAATTTTTTCTCAGCCTGGTTCAAAGATCTACTGGCAAAAGCAATGGGTCTGTCACCCTTCTCATCCATGTGGGACAAGACTGCTCCTACACCATCTGGTGAAGCATCACATGTCAATACAAGTCTTTTCCCTGGGTCATAGTGAGTTAGTAAGGTGTCAGCAGACAAAGCCTCTTTTGCTGTATTAAAAGCAGCTTCTTGTTGTTTACCCCAGTGCCAAGTTGCATTTTTCTGTAGCAGCTTGTACAGTGGTGATAGTTTACCAGACAGATTTCCTATGAACTTTGCATAGTAATTTATTAAGCCCAAAAAAGCTCTTAGTTGTTGGGTATTTTCAGGTTTGGGTGCTTCTTTAATGGCTTTTGTTTTCTCAGGTTGAGGTCTGATGCCTTGTTTGCTCAATATATAACCAAGAAAACTAATTTCTGTCAACATGAATTGACATTTATCTTTGTTTATCTTTAAACCTTTTTCACCAACAATTTTTAATACTTTATCAAGTGTTTTAAGATGTTCAGTGTCATTCTTACCAGTTATGTACACATTGTCAAAGTACACACAAACATTTGGAATGTCCTTAAAAATACTGTCCATGACAGCTTGGAAAATTCCAGGGCTGGATGATATGCCAAAACATAGTCTTTCATATTGGTAGAGTCCTTTATGTGTGTTTATTGTCGTATAGACTTTTGAATCTGGATGCAGTTCTAGTTGAGTGTAAGCATGACTAAAGTCTAATTCAGTGAATTTGTCTCCTCCTGCCAAATTCAAAGAAATTTCCTCAATGTTAGGAATAGGGTACCTATTTAGCTCTATTTGCTTATTCAGTGTAGTTTTATAATCTCCACAAATTCTTATAGAACCATCCTTCTTTAACACTGGCACAATGGGTGTCGCCCAATCGGAATAGTCTACCTTCTTTATGATGCCATTAGATTCCAATCTACTTAGCTCATTTTCAATTTTGTTCCTCATTGCATAAGGTGGAACTCTAGCTTTGCAGTATCTTGGATTTGTATCTTTAATGCTTAACTTCACTGTTCTATCATTTAGTAATCCTGGATTACCAAAAACACATTTATTTTCAGATATTACTTTATCTAGTGAAGTAAGACTAGATTCTTTTACATTCTTCAATGAACAAATACTCTCCCAATTTAACTTAAGATTACTTAACCAGTTCCTACCTAGTAATGGCGGTCCATTTCCTTCAACCACAAGAAGAGGAAGTTTAACACTTTGACCATTATAACTTACATGAACCATACACTCTCCTATTACCGGAACATTGTCACCAGTGTATGTTGTTAAACACTTGTGACACGGCTGTAGAGACACTGATCCTCCTATGACAGCGTCAAAATCTTTCTTTGTTATGACTGTTAGAGATGCTCCAGTGTCAAGTTGGAAGCTGATGCTCTTACCGTTGATATTAACTTGTACATTGATGGGAGCATGACTTATTGATTTCACAGAGAACAGGCTGAAATCCGGCTGCGAATCAGTTTGAGCATTTTCACTGGTAGAGTGGTTCATTGGTTGGGTTAGGTAGTCTTGGTGAGAGTTAACATAGTGCTGCTTTTGGTTGCGGTACTGTCTTGACTGGCTAGATTTAGCAACAGACGAAGACTTTGCGAAGCAGGCCTTGGCAATGTGACCTTGCTTACCGCACTTATAACAAGTTGCTAACTTGAACTTGCACCGATGAGATGCATGGGGACCTTTGCATCGATGACATTTTTGATAATTATTACTAGATTTAGATCTAGGATTTGAACGAGCAGGCTGTTTAGCATAAGTTGGAATGCTCTGATAGGGTTGATGTTTATTGACTAACCTGCTGTTTACTGCATGGATCCCTGAAGGCGTAAGAGATTTCGCCGCATCTGATGACTGCTGGATTGAAGTTGCAAGTTGTATTGCTTTTTCCAATTTTAGATCTGACTCGAGCAGCAACTTTCTTTGAATATCAGGGCTGTTTACACCTGTCACAAACTTTTCACATAGTCTGTCAGACAGCGTATCGCCGAATTCACAAAATTTACTTAAATGACGTAAAGCAGCAACATATTCTGATATTGACTCGTTTGGTTGACGAGTCCTACTGTCAAATCTAGCTCTACATAAAAACTTTGATGGGGTAGGCGCATGGTGGTCTGTTAGCAATTTGCTCAGCTCGTTAAAGCTCTTGGTAGTTAGACTAGCTGGTGTGCATAAGTCTTTTAGTAGCCTAAATTGTTGAGGCCCTATGACTGTTAACAAAACAGCTCTCTTTTTGGCTTCTATCGTCACGTCGTTAGCTTCTAGGTAAAAGCTTAACCTCTCTAGGTAATCTTGAATGATTTCATCATTCGCATCAAATTGATTTATTTGGCCATACAGCGCCATAATTCTAGAAATAATTAGCTAATAAGCTCTAGCAAACCTCTTTTTGCGTAAGTAGGTGCTCTTTCTAGTAGATGTTTATCCTTCGTCGCCAGTTATAATAGATTGACGATAGAAGCATGTGGTTGTATATAACACATTTAATGGGTCTAACTACCACGATGGTAAACACCAGAGAGGACGGAAGGAAGTACACAAGGGACATCACTCAAGATAACAATATAAATATAATACCAATACAATTATCTCAATCTATTACAGCCTTGGCAGCGTTTCTTCCTCGCATCTCTTCCCCCCCCCCTGGAAGAAAGGCTACCACCCCCCTCCGAACGAAATGGAATTTATATAGAAAATATATTTTTTTAACAGTGTCCGCCCCCCGGAAATTTTAGTCCGCCCCCGAAAATTTTTAAGTAGATCAATATGTAGACTTGAATACCTAAATCAGCGCAATATATTCTTAATGTGTTGTAATAACAACTTTAATGCCACAGTGGCATAATCATTATATTTATGTGTAACAATTTTTGGAAATATCCGATGCCTAATAAAAGACAAATGTCCTCTATTATTGGATATCCTACTTATCAAGGTCAATAAATTCAAGGACGTTTCGAATTGACCCTTAGTCTTCCGGTGTAGTAAAAACAATAACTTCCAGAGGAAAGCTGTAGCAGTCGAGTAACAGATTTGCTGTGTAGTGCATCTGGCCTTTACCCAAATAGTACGTAGATAAATATCTACTCAAATCGCAAACAGGTGTATCACCATGGATACAGGAGATGGCTCGTCAAAACCAGGCATTGTGCGGCCTAGAAGAACATCGTTTACACGAAAGATGAGTGTTATGGCCGAGCCTGGAAAAGAAGGACAGCAAGTGCCACCAGGAATATGGGCAGGCAATTCAATCGGTGTATTTACAAGTGGAGGAGATTCGCAAGGTAAAATTATAATTCTAAAATTCGTTTTAAATTTAAAATCTAGACCTACACAAGATAAGACTATATTATTTAAAAAGCAGCAACACTAACCTGAGACCTGGCTATTAGGCCTATCGGCCTATCGGCCTATTTAATTTAAATTTTACATTAGGCCTATTATTTATATTAAAATTATTTATTAGGCCTACATTTAACATTACCCTAATTAATTAGTAATTAATTACATTATTAACGACAATTCAATTGAGTTTGTTAGCAGGACATGCTCATCACATCACATTCATATTTCAAATGATTATTGTTGACTTGGATAAAAGTCCGATTCTAGCTGGAAAAAGATATGCATGCGAAAATGGAGAGAAACTACCGCCGTTATTCGTTTGATGTTTTCGACGGTACTGCGCATGCGTGTGTTTACAGACAAACCACATAACCCTAAACCTATCCCTAACCCTTACCATAGCGCAGCTATTAAGGTCACTGTGCATGTGCAGAACTATTGAGTTTCATATTTTTTGCTGAACAATCTTTTTTCCGAGTAGTCAATTGTTTCAATTGTTTCAATTTTGGCATCATAGTGGCCAAAAAATAAATAAATATAAAAACATCTTAATTAAAAAAAAAATTAATGTTATTGCCGAGAAGTTGCAGAACTTGAAAATCTACTTTAATTAGGCGTGCAAGGATGTAATGAAAAAATACCCTCAAGTTTTTTAAAATACTAAATACCTCAAATGGGTACATCCAATCTTTAGTTAAGTAAGACAAAAACCTCACAATAAGGTTTTTCTAACCACACAACCACATTTATTTTAATAACACCGCACATAATTAAAAAAAAATGTAATGACACATTCAAGAAGATTCACGGCTGACTGCATTAGGGCCTAACAGTCACATTGCCCTAACCATTAATTTGTTCATTAAGTTAGACTTTAATTAATTTAAATTTAGTGAAGTTTAAGTCTATACTTTAGTGAATTTATAAATACTGTATTCTTCTTATATTCCTACTAAAATATTCTCTAAAAAATTCTGTGGTCACAGTCCACTATCATTTTATGCTATATACAACTATTAATAGTATCTTACTATAACAGTAGCATTTATTGTAACTGGGGAAGTAGGTAGGTTTAGAGAACAATGTCATTATTTTTCTATTTATAGTTGTAGAAAAATTATTTTAAAAAATGTCATCTAAAAAACATTTAAAAAATATCTAAGACTTTAATAAGATTCCCTTGATTAGCAGATTTCCTAATAGTACCTAATTGTTTCCAAACCAAATCATTGCAGAAAGGCAGTCATGCATTATGCCATCCAACAACTACACCATGACTAATATATTGTTTTTCAATTTACTACTAATACTAAATCTTTTGGTAACAATCTTGACTAAAAAACTGGGGAAACTAGGCATATGAATAGACAATCTAGGAATTGAATGAAGCCTGTGGACTGGGAATAGACACCAAATTATTTTATAGTCTATTTACTTAATTTTATTTGTATGAGAAATAAGTACAATATTTTTATTGGTAAAAGAGAATTTCATGTACATCTAGTTACCTTTATTTTTTTTTCTTATCTAAAGGTATGAATGCAGCTGTAAGAGCCGTAGTCCGAATGGGATTTTACATTGGCTGTAAAGTCTATTTCATCAAAGAGGTCAGTAGAAATTTCTTTCTTTTTGTTACTTAGAAAAATCAGATGCAAACTATATTTTTCTTTAAGATAATTAAATGCAGGGCAGATGATCATTACAGTTGGTTATTCTAGGAATGGGGATTCAATAGTGTGTTGAAGTCATACAGTTTTAGAAAAGAACTTGTACTAGCAAATTTGTTTCAAGTTTCTTTCTTGAGTTAAACAGAGAAAGTAGAGAGATTTGTAACAGAGATTTGTTTTATGAATGCTATACAAAAATAAAAAAGTGTAAATTATTCTGTAACATGTTGTTTAACCATTTCATCAATTTAGGGGTACCAAGGAATGGTGGATGGTGGAGACAACATTGTTGAAGCTACCTGGTCTAGTGTCTCTGGCATCTTGCAAATGGTAAATAACTTTTAATTTAAAAAAGAAACTTCTATAAAGAATGCCATTCAGAAAGATTTTTTTTTCTGTTTGAGAATGCCAAGGAGAATCCAATTTCCATGGTAATAGGACATCAATTGCTTCAAATTATATAAATAGAATTTTTTATTACAAATTTTAAAAATTTCTTCTTCAAGAAACCACATTCTGTACCATAATTGTTGACTTGCTATGAAAAATTGACAGTTTTGATGTCGTGAATAAACTTCAGTCAAGAAAGCTATTACAATAGACATAATAATACACATACCTCATATAATATGCACATGAAAAGTGTAAATGTGATGTAGTTTATAAAGATAAATTTAACTTATCACGTGAACTGTAACTTTAGGAAATATACATATATACTGTTTGTTTAAAAGGGAGGAACTGTAATTGGCAGTGCCAGATGCAAAGATTTTCGTGAGCGTTCCGGGCGCCTAGTCGCTGCCAACAACCTGATAGAGCGCAGCATAACAAACCTGGTTGTCATTGGTGGTGATGGTAGTTTAACTGGGGCTAACTGCTTCAGACAGGAGTGGCCTGGTCTACTTGACGATCTCTTGCAGTCAGGTAATTTTTTTGTTGTTGAATTCCAACATCTGATTTAAAATTTGGTGCACTGGCAGCTTAAGCTAACCCTAAAAGTTCTTCTTATAAACATGGTAGTCCATTGACAGCTGTAGAAGGGATAGTGTGCCCAGCACTATACCCAGCTGTCTTCAATTTCTCTAATGATATTTGGGCACCCATCAGAGCTGTCTTGACTTAAGGACTCAAGCATCTAATCATTCCTAAGTTTTGTTGAGCAATCTCTTAAGTTAAAATATCATTTCTAAGCTCTTTTATTTCTCAAATCACACAATAGCCTCTAAAGTTAAAATATAATTCCTAAGCTCTGCTATATTATATCAAACCTACCAAAAATTCCTAAGTTGTGTTGAACTTGACGACATATCAAACCTACCAATCAATCCTAAGCTCTATTATGCTCAGCTGCATATCGCACCAACCCCACAACCTCAAGCACCAAGTTAAACTATCCTCAGGCAAGATCACACCCCAGCAACGTGAAGACAACAAGCACCTGAATGTTGTAGGGCTGGTTGGCTCCATAGACAACGACTTCTGTGGCACTGACATGACCATTGGCACAGACACCGCCCTGCATCGCATCATCGAGGCTGTTGATGCCATAGCTACTACAGCACTCAGGTGAGTTCCAGGCCATGTTCATGTGCTCTTTTTTTTGGTACTTGTGTGAGCTAGGACATTATGAAACTATGGGACTGCATGGCCTAGCTGTGGAGTGCTAGACTGCTAACCCAAAAGTTTTGAGTTTGAATCCGGGTTTAAGTTAGTGGAACGTCCCTGAGTCCACCCAACTCTGATATGTATCTAACTCACTTTAGGGAAAGTAAAGGCGGCTGGGCATAGTGCTGACCACATTATCCCTTTATATGCAGAGGTCAAGAAACATATGAACTCCACTTCATCTGCCCAATAGATCGTTAGGTCTAAAGAGGACTCTGTTACTTTTTGTTTTTACATTATGAAACTAGGACTACAGTATATTGTTGGATATACAAAAAGCTAATCCCCATACTGTAAGATACACAGATTGGAATATGCTACACTTTAAGGTGTAAGCTTGACCCACTCTACTGAGAGACTGCTATTGTGGAGGACATACAAAAAGCAGGCTTTCACTGTACTGTATGAAACTGGTCCCACCCACAATACATGTACTGTAGGACATACAAATAGGAAGGACCCACTCTACCATACAACATACAAATAACATGGCTGCACTCTGGCATACAAAAACTATTGTCGTTGTTGTGGTTATAAAAATTTGTTTGAGCTTGATTTAAGTTGTGTTTGTGCAACAACTTAATTGCTAGTTATTTAACTAATGAATTACTTGTTGTTTTTTTCAGTCACCAGAGAGCTTTCGTCTTGGAAGTCATGGGAAGACACTGTGGGCAAGTATTTTAGCAGTAACTTGCGTTAAATGTCAACACTATTCCACAAGTCATATTTTAAAATATCTTTTTCTTAGAAGTATTTAGCAAAGAAAGTCATATTTGTTTTTTAACTTTAGTCTGAGATTTATTTGACTTAGGAAGTCATATTTAAAAATAACTTTAGTCTTAGATGTTTTGACTAAGGAAGTCAAATTTTGTTATAACTTTTTTCTTTGAAGATTATATTATTAAGAGAGTCATATATTTAAATAAAAACTTTAGTGTCATTATTGTTTTTTAACATTTGTCTTAGATATATTTGACTAAGGAAGTAAGATTTGAAGATAACTTTTGTCTCAGATATATCTGACTAAAGAATTCAAATTTTGTAATAATAAACAAGTCATTATAGTTTTTAAACATTTGTCTTAGATGTCTATGAGTGAGAAAGATGTAATTTCTCATGAACTCTCTGTCTACAGGTACCTGGCCTTAGTGGGTGCCCTGGCAACTGAAGCTGATTGGGTGTTTATCCCGGAGTGGCCCCCAGAGGGTGACTGGAGGGAGTCGCTGTGTAACAAGCTGGCTGCGGTCAGTTGTACATTAGGTTTTAACTGTCTTTGTTAGAGGCTAGTTTAAATTGTCTGCGGTCAGTTGTACATTAAGTTTTGATTGTCTTTGTTAGATGCTTGTTAAAAATATGTTAATTTAATGGTTGGGTCAGTTGTACATTAAGTTTTAAATTGTCTTTGTTAGATGCTAGTTCAAAATGGTTGGGGTCAGTTGTACATTCAGTTTTAATTGTCTTTGTTAGATGATAGTTAAAAATGTGTTAAAATTCACTGGTTGGGATCAGATTCACATTAGTTTTGTCTTCATTAGATGCGAGTTAAAAATGTGTTAAAATTTACTGGTTGGGATCAGATTCACATTAGTTTTGTCTTCATTAGATGCGAGTTAAAAATGTGTTAAAATTTACTGGTTGGGATCAGATTCACATTAGTTTTGTCTTTAATAGATGCTAGTTAAAAATGTGTTTAAATTTACCAAGGGGTTTTACTTTGAGTTTTTTTTAAACTGCTGGTTCTGTTTCAGGAGAGAAATCTTGGCCAGCGTCTGAACATTATTTTAGTTGCAGAGGGCGCCATTGATGAGAATGGTAAAGCTATCACAGCAGAGGAGGTGAAACAGGTGAGTTGGTGGGTAAACAGGTGGGTTGGTGGGTAAACAGGTGGGTTGGTGGATAAACAGGTGGGTTGGTGGGGAAACTGGTGGGTTGGTGGGAAAACAGTTGGGTTGGTGGGTTAAATATGTGGGTTGGTGGGTAAACTGGTGGGTTGGTGGGTAAACAGGTGGGTTATTGGGGAAACAAGTGGTTAAATTGGTAGATAAACAGGTTAGTGGGAAACCAGCTAGGTTTGTGTAGTGCCGGGGTCTCCAAACTACAGCCCGCGGGCCGTAGTTTAGAAACCCCTGCATCCGGCCCGCGAAGGTCTTTGTGTCCACGGAAAAATGTTTGGCTGAGGAACTTTGCCGAGTAAATTTAAAACACCCCGAAGAGATTTATGGCCCCTGAACTAGTATTTGATAGTTAAAGCGGCCCTCGGGCTGAAAAGTTTGGAGACCACTGGTGTAGTGGGTAAACAGGTGGGTTACTTGGCACACAGGTGAGTTGTATAATTCAAAGACTTATGTATTTTGTGTAGAGATAATCGTTAATTTTATAATGCTAAACTGATGAAAAAAATTGCCGATCTTGTAGTTTCTATACAAATGTATTTGAGATATGCAAAAATGTATTGTTATACAAAAAAAAAATTGTAGTCACAAGTAGGCCTAGAAAATTGAATTTTTAGAAGTGAAGAAAAATGTTACTTTGAGATGATTCTGTTGTAGCATTGCTGACCATTTGAACTTTGAACCTTTCAGCTATTGTGTGATAAAATGAAGATTGACACCAGAGTTACAGTCCTTGGTCATGTCCAGCGTGGTGGAAGCCCCTCTGCTTTTGACAGAATTTTGGTGGGTAGTGGTGACACTAAATTATTTTAAAAATCCTAAACATTTTAATTAATTAGACAAAAGGTATATGTGATTCTAAATTTTAGTTTAATAAACATTTGATGCATTTAATTATGTAGCTAAAAGATAAGTGATTTTAAAATTATTATACATAGTTTAAAAAGCATTAAATTATGCAGATTAAAGATATGAGATTATAAATTAATTTAAAAATAATTTTTATTAAAGTTCAAATTTTGTTTGATGTGTGGCAGAATACAACTTTCTTCTAATGTTACATTTATTGACCTGTAACTAAATATAATTCATTTACGTTATTTTGTACTTGAAACAATGATCCTTATTGATGCTGAAAGTTGTTGATCACATGTGTTTCCCAGGGCTCAAGAATGGGAGCTGAGGCTGTGTTAGCCCTAATGGATGCCAAACCTGACACACCAGCCTGTGTCATCTCTATTGAAGGAAACTCTACTGTTAGGGTGCCCCTGATGGAGTGTGTAGAAAGGGTATGTGTGTTCGCGTATAGGAAGAGTAATTATGTGTTGTTATTTTTTACTGTAAGAAGATTCAACCATAGTATTAATAAAATACTATTTTGTTAGGATTGTTATCGTACAAAACAATTTTTAGTCTTTTAAAAAGTGTGATCATATTCATTTCATATTTTAAAAGTTCTATACTTTTCCTAATATTCATATCAGGTTGTCTTATTTATTGTTTGAAATACCTTATTTATTTTTACTGACAGACAAAAGAAGTTCAAGCTAATATGGACAAAAGAAACTTTGATGAAGCTGTACGCCTTAGAGGAAAGTAAGTTTGTACAAAGTCACTCTGTGTATGTATTATATGTTAATTATTAAGTTATGGTCTGTATTAGATAGAATTTGCCATACAGGTCTAGTAAAATACAATTAAAAAAAAAATATTAACTGCTTTGCTTGATATTTAAAGGAGCTTCCAGAATAATCTGAACACATATCGCCTGCTGAGTAAATTGCGACCCCCATCAACGCACTTCAAGCCCACATCACATGAAGACAAGGTACTTTTAAATTGATTTAAAAAATTTTTAAAAATGTTATTGTTTTTCTTTTCTTTTTAGTTTTAAATTGTTGTGAATTAGAATTTTTTGCTTTAAAGGAATTACAATTGCGTCTTAAAATTTTATTTTAGAATGTAAGTTTTTAGGTTAGAATGGAAGTACTTGTCACTTATCTAACAGTTGCTATTTGTCGTTGGAATATTTTTTAATGAAGATGGACTTCTGAGAATGCGAGGTGTCTTAGGTGGGGATGTAATGCATATTTAACAACTTTATGGCACAGTTTTTTTAAAAAGTGGCTAAAGTAATAACCACCATTAATTATTTATTTAAAAAATCAGCTTTATTTAAAAACTTAATCTATTGTTGACCAAAAGCACTGATGATCTCTCTTAGTTTGAGCACTCTAAACTTATCTGCACAGTTTCTCTGATTCTAAATCAGTTAAAAATTAATCAGGCTAAAATAATGTATATTAATGTTGAAAAACACTAAGTTTAAACTGCACATTGCTTAAATTCTAATCCGTCTTAAAAATAATTAATAATATAAAAAAAATTGCTGATAATGAATATTTTAGTTAACAAAGCATTTAAAAACATAAACATATTATATTGAATGAAAAAAATATATGAAAAATTACATTTTTTAAAATTGTAATAGCGTGGAGAAATAGAAATATAACTTTACTAAATCTTTTTAGAAAAATTCAGTGGGACTGTTTTTTCTCTCTGCTTTTAGATTGTACTTTTGATGCTGAAACTTTCAGACAGTTTTTCTAACTTGTATTGATAGTTTAAATGTTCCTATTTATGTACAGTTTATAGTTGCATGGCTCTTTTTATAGCTTTTTTTTGTGTGCTGTTTATAAATTGTTTATACACACATCGTGCAGCAACTAAACTGTCTGCAGTCTATAACAGTGTGTACTAATTGTCTAATTGTCCTAATCCTGTATACTTATTGTATTGTGTAGAGCAGGCCACTATGGAAAAAGGTACTCCATTTATTCTTCATTAACATCCTATTGCATATTCTGGGCTTCTTAAAAAAAATAATTTTTTTTAGAAATTATTAAAAAACAAAACATTGCATGTTTTGAAAGATTTATTGTTCTATTTACAAACAAGAAGTGCCCAGGGTGTGTAACTAAGATACAACAAAGAGCTTATGAACAAGATTTATCTTTCCTTTCCCAGGGTTAGGAGTGTTTACTTCCCTTAACAATGACCTTTCTTTAACAAGATTTAATATTATAATATGTAAAATTTGCTGAAATGTTAAATGAAGAAATTTTCTTTTACATTTAAACACAGTTATTTTTATTATGCCTTCATTTTATACATATAATTTTAAAGATAAAGCAAATACAAATACTCTTTTCCCCGTAATTTTAGTACACATTAATATAGAAAGCTACTAGATTTTCATTCATTACGAAAAAAAATTAAAAGTTCTCTATTATAACCGTTTTGGTTTTCCTATAATTTTGAAAACAAATAATAGGCTAGATTTTCATATATAAAAATAAACACCAAATTATCTATATTAACCTTTTAGGTTGGCCTATCTCATTCTTTTGAACAAATTCTGTTTTGTGACAGTGAATAAGACTTCGTTCTCAGTAATTCAGTTGATTTTGTTTAGTGCTCTTACTTTATTCATTATAATTTAGCATCAGACATTATCAGACACTAATCGGACAAGAATTTTATTTTCTGTTGATGTCAGTTTTATTAATCGATTTAAAAAAATGGTAGTTTTATATTTATATAAAAACCAAGAAATTAAAAAATAATGCATGTTCATCTATCCTACTATTTCCCACTTATTTCATCAAATATAATTCTAATTCTGCCTTCAATAAGCACAATCCTCTCTATTATAGCACAAATACCTTGTCTAGATATTTTTTTATTTATTTTGCTTTAAATTGTATTTTTTTTTCTCAAATTTCTTTATCCCTCACTAATGGTTATAATTTCTTCTCATTATTTTCCAAATGGCAATTCATTTTTCTGACAGTAACATTGCTATTTTATCTGTTAATATTTGTTAATGTTTTTTTGTGTTAGCTTCTTAAAAAAAGATGATCTTAATAATAAAACAATATAACAGGTGAAAATATGGTTAATGAAGGCAATAAGCTTTAAAAAAAAATAATAATGGAACCTTTTTAAATATTAGTATATTTTAAAAATGTTTTGCTGTCTCTAAGCTTTGGGAAACCATTATACCCGCATCTGTCTTGTTATTTTCTAAATTTTCTTAATTGTTACTGCTATGGGGGAGCCCCATGTTTCCTTTTTTTTTGCCTATCTGTGGTTTATGCTACTCAAGACAATATTTATTCCCTTTTTTTTTAAATTTTTGATTAAATAACAACCTTTTTATTTATTTATTTATGTATGTTTATTGTCTTACATAGTTATCCATTATTGAAATTAATGAAAATTTATTTCATTGTGCTTAGTAATTTTGCTAAAAAATTAATTAAAAATTTTCTTTCAGGTGAAATTGAAAATGCAAAAGTATTTTAATCAAAAATAGATAAAGTGCTAACTAGTTATATTGTCCTTGTATTATTTTGTGCCTAGTGTCAATATTAATTGGATTCTGGTGTAACAAATGATGCTGTTTTATGTTTTGATGGCCAGTTTGTAATGGATGAAATTTAATTGTATTCTGGTTTAACAAATGTTGTTTTATCAATGAATGGTTGTAAGTTAACAGTGTTCTTTCTGCAGCAGCTGGGCCATAGTTCATACTTAAGACCAGACACTCAATGGCATTGTACTCTCTCTGTCTCTGTGAATTTTAGTTGTATATATATATATATATATATATATATATATATATATATATATATATATACATATATATATATATATATATACATATATATATACATATATATATACATATATACATATATATATACATATATACATATATATATACATATATACATATATATATACATATATACATATATATATACATATATACATATATATATACATATATACATATATATATACATATATACATATATATATACATATATACATATATATATACATATATACATATATATATACTATATATACATATATATATATATATATATATATATATATATATATATATATATA